GATAAGCAATGAGGAATCTACACTAAATTGAGGCAGGGAGCTGGAAAAAGGTTGGAAATGTGTGAGCTGAGATCCAATTCCCAGCTTCAGCGTGATAAGGAATCATAGAATCATAGACTGGTTAGGGTTGGAAGGGACCTCAAAGATCATATAGTTCCAACCCTCCTGCCATGGGCAGAGAAACCCTCCACCACACCAGGTTGCCCAAAGCCTCATCCAACCTGGCCTTGAACATTTCCAGGGATGGGGCATCCACAACTTCTCTGGGCAACCTGTTCGGCAACCTGTGCCAGTGCCTCACTACCCTCACAGTGAAGAATTTCTTCCTTAGATCTAATCGAAATCTCCCTTCTTTCAGTTTAAAGTCATTGCCCCTTGTTTTATCACTACATGCCCTTGTAAAAAGTCCCTCTCCAGCTTTCCTGAAGAATCACTCACAGGAAATGTTACCTTGCCCCTTAAGGGAGTTGACTTTTTGCTTCTTTTGTCTACAATGCAACCCTGCAATTAGAGTGGGTAAACAAACTCCCATTTCTCCATTTTGTCAAACCCTTGAATGAGTTTGATGCTTTCGGAAATCAGCTGAGTACTCTCAACCCAAAATCTACCTTACAGCAATAAAGTAACTTCACATCACAAGTTTGCCCTTTCCCAAACAAGGCACCAGACATGCCAGTGAGTATCAACGTAACAAAGTCACCATGAGGCACTCTCGTTCTGTCAACTCACTGCTTTGAACAGAGGTCAGCCCTTCTAGCAGAAAGTAGAAACTAGTGCCAGTACACTTTTTTGGAGAGGGGAAAAGGACAGGCAAAACAAACTGTCAAAAGCTATTCCGAGATTTAATACAATTCCTGCTTAAAATGAATGTGTCACTTGAGTGACAGCTTTTGCATGGATTCTATTCACCCAGAGGGAGCAGGGTGCAAGGAGATACAGCCAGTAGACTCACCCCACTCTAAATCCGCCACAGGTTCCTGTCACGACTTATCTACATCATTAAAAGTTTGTTTTTCCTGATAAAACTCATCATGCAACGTTTATGCTTTTATAGCGTAAAAGAAATTATGCAAAATAAAGGTAAAAATAGGATAAGCAATCTACCAATCCATCTGAATAACACACATAAATCTAAAATCCATTACGTTACACTTCTCAGAGGAGTTCCCATTCGAAATGACAGGTTTAAATAAAGATTTCAAGTTCAATTGTTGGAAAAAAACCCCAAGTTTATGACCAAGACACATCTGCCAGGTGCACCAGCAAGCCTGTAGAATAATCAAACTTACCAGTTCGTTGCTAGTAGATGTACATCTCAGCTTTTCTTCAATCTCCCTTCCTATTTTCTGAACCGTTACCTGAGTCTGTTTAATTGCACACTGGGCTCTGTGAAGCCTGCAAGGAGAAGACAAGTTACAGCTGTAGCAAAGGTTCCCCACACGTCTCCTAATAAAGAACGCACCAGCCACCTCAAAACCAGCAGAGATACCACAAATTCAGGTTGTCAGCCTCTGTATTGAAATGAAACAATAAAAGAGGGATCATAACTTGCACAGTTTAGAAACGAGTACCCAAAGCAAACCAGCAAGTCTCTAAATTCAACCCAGCTCCAGATGTCCCTCAAATTTGTTCAATTCAGTAGATGCCAATAAGACAAAGCTCTGGGTAAGAGGTAATTACAGGGATCTCCTACAACAATTAAACGAGTTGTAACATGATGTCAAGACAAGGATACACACGACAGTTCCCATGAGCATTGTTAACACAGGCCAGTTACAAAAAAGCACAAGTATCCTTCAGGAAACATCCAGCGACCCCGGCCAAGAGCACGACCCACCCTTCAGTACCCCCAAACACACTATGGGCCCTTGTGTAACAAAAGCACAGGTTTTTAACTGAAACTAGTTTAAAGTGGGGAAAAGAAGATGATGATGCCCTTCTGCTCATTCACCTTGGCTTCAAGGTGAAGAGGGAAAACTGATTATTTGCCATATTTACTGAGGAAAAAAACAGGCTGAGGAAAGAAACGGCAAAAACAAGCATTAATGTCTGTCTTAGACAGAATTAACATGGAGTGGAAATTAACGTGTTAGAAAAAATGAGAGTTGGTCTGAAGACACAGATTATGTCTTTTGAGGCATGAAAAATCCAGGCTTACTTTTCCCATTCACAGTTTCCCTATTAAGGGCTCTCCTTTTGTAAGGACATTCTTCAGGCTTGCTGCTGGGATAAGCACTGAGAATCACAGAATGGTTTGGGTGGGAAGGGACCTCAAAGATCATCTAGTTCCAAACCCCCTGCCATGGGCAGGGACACCTTCCACTACACCAGGTTGCTCAAAGCCTCATCCAACCTGGCCTTGAACACTGCCAGGGATGGGGCAGCCACAACTTCTCTGGGCAACCTGTTGACTACGGGCAACTTGACTACGGTCTAGTCAGAACATGGGCAGATAACCCTACCAGATGAACTCAGTGTTTTGCCAGGGAAACATTGCCCTAAGACCAAGCCTGTTTCAACAAACGCTTTAATGACCACCTCCACTTTGCCAAAATTAAGCATTCCTATAACGAGGCAGAGATTTTTAATTTTACTAAAGCAAGGCTACGCGCCTGCTGTGTGCCAAGGACCAAAGCACTAGAGCATACAGAAGTTGCTCAGCTCCTTTCCTTTACATTCTCTAATCTCTTCCAGACTTCCTCCAGATCTTGGGGTTGGAACTGGATGATCTTTGAGGTCCCTTCCAACCCAAACCATTCTGTGACTCTATGATTTATAAGCAATTGAGGCATTGCTATTTAAAGATTTTGGCTAATGGTTTTTAATGGTCTGTACGTTGTTGTTTTTTTTTTTTTATGGTCTGCGTGCACAGTTAGACCAAGACAACCAGGCTACATGCTTCAGGTGTGAGTAACCACAAACCATTACTCCTCCTCACATCGTTTCCCCTCAGTATCCCATCTCAACTCAACAGCACCCATTGCATACTAGTTTATCCAGTGTGAGGACAGCACCTAAACCACCTAGCCCAGCAAACAAATATGGAGAGAGGAGATTATACACGAAGAAGCAGTGCTGGTCATATTAAACAAGGTCATTATGATTGAAGACTTTCACATATTATACATTCTAAGTGACTACATTTAAGTCAACAGACACCTTTAGTTCCTTTACTGCTTCTCCTGAATGACACTCTGCAATAAATTTTTGTTTCAAATTATACCAATCGATTCCTTTAGTTTCCCTAAGAGCTTTTTAGGGGTAGCCGTACCCCATCTAAATCACATACAGAGCAGCAGGGCTCTGCTGGCTGCTAAAGGCTTCTGGAGGTGGAAAAAGATGGCTGAGGCCAACAGTGCTGGGCACTGGGTGACCCAAGGGCTCAGTCTCACGTCCCTCATGGAGTATTCAGACCTCCTGGAAACACTTATTTCCCAGTGGGAATTCCTACTTACACCTCTTGCCTTCTCAAACGCATCTTGAGGCTGTTGGCTATGTAACATATGGTTATGCAGGTCAAAGCCAGGGCTTGCTGACCATCCTGAACATCACTCAGAGCTCTGCTGTCACGTCATACAGCAGGGTCGAAGTTTCCTACTTCGACAGTTTCCAGGCAGCCTCTTTCCAAAAGTCTGGAACATTTCTTTCCAGACATAAGGAAGTCTTGCCCAAAGCTAAAACTTGTAGGTAAAGAGTAATAACCGAGCGACATTTCCCTTTCCCCTTCTCTCCTCTTCATCTAATTTTATACTGGAAGAACACACTCAGATTTAGTCTGTTGTTAGGTGATTAAGAAAGAAATACTACAAGTCTCCACATCACCTGACTGCTGAAAAGTGTTTTACTCTTTGAAAAAGTATTTATGAAACTGGTAGAATCACAGAATCACAGAATGGTTTGGGTTGGAAGCGACCTCAAAGATCGTCCAGTTCCAACCCCCTGCCATGGGCAGGGACACCCTCCACTACACCAGGTTGCTGAAAGCCTCATCCAACCTGGCCTGGAACACTTCCAGGAATGGGGCAGCCACAGCTTCTCTGGGGAACCCGTTCCAGTGCCTCACCACCCTCTGAGTGAAAAATTTCTTCCTTATATCCAATCTAAATCTGCCCTCTTTCAGTTTAAATCCATTGCCCCTTGTCCTATCACTACACACCCTTGTAAAAATTCCCTCTCCAGCTTTCCTGTAGGTCCCCTTTAAGTACTGGAAGGCTGCAATAAGATCAGAGCCTTCTCTTCTCCAGGCTGAACAGAAAAAAATATAAACTTAAAAAAAAAAAATTGTTAGGATAAATTGTTAGAAGGGTCATTTGCCATGCGAGTTCCTCAGTGATACTCAGCTAACAACCTCCAAATTTTCTAACAGCTTCAAGATCTTCCGTCCACGTCCAAGTATAAAGAACAAAGATCTATTCAGACTGACTCCTCAAACGCGTCCATACCTTAAGGACACTTCTTCCATTTGGTGAATCTATATCTAGAAGTATGCTCCTAACCTATAAAGACTGCTACAGAGAGTAATTCAGCAAACAAGCCTGTTTTTAATAAGAAAAGGTTTTCTTTTTAAGCCAAACATCATCCCGTCACTTCTTGCAACATAAAAAAGCCCTACAGTTAAACTCTGCTTCCTTGATGCCAAATAGTGCCATTTACATCGAGTCAACCGGTATCAGCAAGTTTTCTCTCTTGCAATCTCAGTAAGTTTGGAGTCATTCCGTTGTTAAAATGGTAACGGCAAGATCATGACCACATCCAAAGTTAAGCCTCCCAAGATTAAAATTTCAGGGCTTCATGTCACAAAAGCAGCAACTATCTGCAGAAATCTCCCTTCCCCAGCCAAAAAAGCCCCCGCGTGGAAGCGTTTGGTCATCCAACAACGCGAATACGAACTAAGCCGTAAGAATATCAGCGTGGAAATGTTGTCCATCATTTCTGCACGCACGAGACAGACTTCAGCGGAGGCAACTATGATTGCACCAATGAATGGAGATCGGCAAGTTAAGGCCATAAATCTGGATGGAAGTTTATATATAATGAATGGAGAGCAACTTCAACGCTAATTGGCCGCATATTGTTTCCATTTCTGGTCTGACTGCAAGTCCAATGCTACAGCCTAAAGTTAGCACAATTTGTGCCTTGAGCACAATCCGCCTTGGTTTAATCATTGACAACGATGAGCCAATTCCTGGCATAACCTATGTGCTATCAGCCAAGGCAGGATTCTTCCTACACTGTTCAATAATTTATTTTTTTTTTATTATTTATTATTAAAATTAGCACTTCCATAACACTTAAAGAGCTAATTCAGGGCTTCAAGAGGCCACTGGCCTGCTACCAAATTTCCTTCAGCAGCCAGGAAAGCCAAGCCAGTTCCAGCAGAAACTCAAGCCTTTTTAAAGAGCCAGCTTAGCCAACAGTGTCGTCATCCTGCGCCTGCAGGCTGCTCTGGTGTCTCCGCAGCAGCTCCCC